TAAGTAGACTTGCATGGTACTATCCTAGTTGGGAGTTGAATTTGATCTTAAATAGAAGACCTCAGTTCGTTTTTTTCCCTATAGTCATTTTTTTTCCTCCAACTATCCTTGTTAATTGTACATGTTAAAGAGAGTTTTCATCAAGGGGTAATTTCAATGCAAATGATTAAAAACGTATTTTAGGAAAACCAACACATTTTTGACAAATGATTAATTTAAATAGTTTTATTAATCTACCCAAATTAGTTAAGTAGGTAATATCTAGTTTTACTTTTGCTTCTAGAGTTCAGTTTGGAAACAAATGAAGAGTAGGGCAGGGAGCAGTTTGTCCAAATTTCATTTTGCATGAAAATTGTAAATGATCATGCCTTGTTTATAAATCAATTTATGCCCCTAGTTTCTTCTCTGCAAATTCTGTATGTGTCTCTTGAATCCTGATGGATTTCCTTTGCATGTTTCCAGCTAAGTGAACTGTTGAGACTCACAACTTCACAATCCATCTCGGGTTTCTTAAGCAATCTGCGGAGCCATGGTATTCATTCTTGCACTGAATTCAAATTCTTTAATTCCTCATATAATTTTATCTGGTTTGCCGTGATTTAGTTTGGCAAATTCCTTTTTGGTAGTACCAAAGCAAGAAAATGTGAGGTGGTTTTTGTTCATTTGCATTTATGAATTATGTTTAAAGTCAACTTGATGTTTGAACAACTTTGTATCTTATGGTCATTGTTTTTATGATGGCTGCAGATCAAATTTCGTGTATATTTGGGTTATTGCATTCTGATCTCCATGACGATAGGGTTGCAGCTGTTCTTGATTACATGTCCTCCATGGTGGCCAATGTCGAACCATTTCATCATTCCTTGTCTGAACAAAGTTTTAGCAGGGGGAAGTTCAATGTCAGGTTCAAGCGCAGAAATGGGCGAGTTAGAGTGACGGTGATATCTTTCTTCCTCTGTAAGCCTTGTTGGGAATTACCAATCTTCATTGGTTGACTGATAAAGTATCTATGATGTTGTATTCAGAGTGAAGAATTTAAAGTTGACCCTGGAGGAATTAGCTTTACATCTATTCCCTCAGCGGATGGACTATCCATCTCAGGCCTACTGCCGAAGGTTAGTTCTATAGTTTCCTATATGGAGTGGGTTTTATCTCTGTATTAAAGAAAAGCTGAATAACATTCTTGTAATGGAAGAAAATGCCTCATCTGTTTTCTGCAAAAGATGAATAAAGCGAAGACCCTTTCAAAAAAATATAAAAGGCCTTGGTCAAAGTTGCACTACACACCCATTGGCAAGATTCTCAGGTCTGTCAGTGTTGATCTAAATGGTAGGAGCATAAATGAATCAAGTAGTTGTCTCTTACAACACCGTCGTGTGCCTGTTTAACTCATGATACCTGTGTTGGATGGTATTAATTAGTTCTACACAAGATTGAGAGAATAAAGAAAGTTATATCTAATCCATACTTGTTAAAATTATGTTCATATGCTGCCTTGGTATATTTCCCTGCACTACACAAACGAATATTCTTATAATGGCAGATATAAATTCAGCACAAAGTTACTTTCTTGAGCAGGTGCAATTCAATCTTGATCTGTCTGAGAAGGAGCGAACTGATAGGGCTAACGTTGTGCTCCCTTTTGAACACCAAGGTATGTAATTTAGATCTGCGCTAGAATTTTCCTTCCAAAAAATAAATTGCTTTTCAGTTTACTTGCATTTTTCAAATGATAAATATGTCTTACAACTTTATCATTATCTCCTTAGGAAATGGTAAACCCATACAAATATATGATGGTAGAAGATCGCTTGAAGATTACAACATTGAGGCAAAGCACACTTCTGGTAGTAAAAAAGTGGGTTCTGGCACGGGTGAGATTATTTATTATCGTGATTCAGATGATGAGATGCCGGATTCTGACGAAGACCCAGATGACGATTTAGATATATGAATATCCTTTATATTATCAGAAAAATGTGGACTTTTATTGTAATTTTACTAGGTTTCCTTCAGTATTTTACTCCCATTTCTCTGTTTAATGTAATAGAGATGTTTTCGTGTATTTTTTCGCCCCAACTTTTACCATCAACAGGGTCATAGAATAGGTTATTTCACTTGTACATAAGCAGAGTTCAAAAAAAAAATCGACAGATGAAGCCAACGTTATTCGAAATTGTTCTCAATATATTATGGATTGACATGGAATCATATTTTGGTATGGTTTTGTGATGTTATTGGAACTTGTGCTTCTTTATTATGAGTGTCAGGGCAGGCCTTTCAAAAAAGTTAATATGAATTTTGGTCCTTTAAGTTTATCCTTATTTGAAATGGCTCAAATTTTTCATACATTATAAAGACCAATATTTGAAATGAAGAGAAACTTAAAAGACTAAAACTTATGATTTTAAACTTGAGGGGTGAAAACCAAAAGGGAAAATGATAGTGAGGTCCAATGCAACACAAAACACTACAAAAAAGTCTTAGAAAATTTGGTAATGATTCTGAAATCCTAAAAAGACTTGCGTGTAATTTGGTGAACTGTGAAAAGATGCTTTTGCCCTTGGTGAAATGCATCTACAATGACTAAAAGTTGCCCTATTTTTGAGTTTGAAAATTAGCACTCAATACACAAGAAGTAAGAGAAGTCTCTTCCCCTATTCTCATCTGAAAATCTCATCCACTCCACTCATGTCAATCATTGGCAAAAATCGCGTGTTTTTGGTTTGATGTTTGTTTGGTCATTTAAGTTGGAGTTTTATTATAGGTGGGTAGGGTGATTATGGTTGTTTTGTTTTTGGGTATATTGTGGGTGGGTTGAAGTTGAGTTTGCTTTGTTTGGGTATGGTTCAAGAGGAATTGATAAAAAAGATAAAGGTTAGTGTGGCTAGAAACTCTTATTGTGAAGTAGGAAAATATGTTGTTAATATAGGTTGCAGAAGTTATCAATATGGCTCTTTGACTTGTCAACAGTGACAATGTTGTATAGATTTACATTAACTGATTTTTTAAATTTTTTACACAAAGGCCATTACTTTTTGTACCCTTGACTCATTGGTAGAAGTTACAAAAAGATGAAGAAGAGGCAATGAAGAAGGATGAGTAATCACATGAGGCAAAAGAAAAAAAATGGCAAAAAGAAAGGTCACTTTGAACCTAGACAAATGATGGCAAAAGATTTCTTTTGCAAATAGAAGTGACATGAATTTTTTTTTTGTAAATGTCACAAAACACACAAATAGTTATTTTGATACTGAATACATACAATTATATGTTTTTTTCAGTGAATTATGAAATTGGTGTAATTATATATATATGAAGTTGTAAATGAAAGTTAGCTGTGTATTACATTTTGATGCATAATTAGTTGTCATTATCCACACTTTTTATTGTCAATATATTCTGTCACTTGTCACTCGCTATACCATCAGTTGTTAATCATATAAAATTGAAAAAAATATGATTTTGTTACATAATGCTATACAATGTCATACAATATCACTAATTCCTCAAAATTAATCCATTTTTTATAACGTGATTGATCGAACCCAATTCTTCTATGTTATTTCATGTTATTTTTAGGGCTTTTATTATAGCTTTTGGCTCTTTTTGGTGATAATTGTGCTTAATTTAGATTAAGATTTCTTGTCTTGAGTTAATATCTTTTTGAGGATAAAATTGTCATAATTGGTTATTAATTGTATTCAATTGATTTCTAGGACAATTAATGTTTCAAATTATTGTTTTTTATTGTAGGACACTTGAGAATTAAAGCCAAGATTGAAGACCAAGGGATTACACAGCATGAGAACTACGAGTATTGATTCAAGACGAGTAGGGCGCGACATTGGTTGTGGATTCGCTGCGACGAACAATCTACATCAAGGTTAAAGACCCTCCGGACTTGTAAGCCGCGATGTTGGCTGTGGGTTCGCCGCAGTGAAATGCCTTGTATCAGCAACGTCAAATTCAAATCAGAATGCGAAAATGTCCATCTACTCAAATGATTTGACCCAGTTGACACCTTAAACCCTTAGAAACCCTATTTTTGTCCCATAACTCCTTTCTCTCATTCTAACACCTCTATTCTCTCACCTTCTTGCCTCTCTATCTCCATCTCCTTTCTCATCCATTTTCTTTACTTTTTCTTCATCCCACCTTATTTTCTTCATCTCCTAGCTGTTATGGCTGAAGAATTCACTCTGCTTGGGGTGGTTTCCAAGGCTATGGTGGGCTAGGGTTTTCTAACTCTTAAAGATGATGGAGTGGCATGAGTTTCCAAACTTTAAAAGAGAGTTCAGTTTCAATCTTCAGTTTTTAGTTATGAATTTATGGTTTCCTATGTTTAGGAATTGTAATTCTTAGTTAGACACTTGGATTGCTGCTGTAATCATTGTTTAATGATTTATAATTGTAGTTTGGATTAGTTAATGTAGAATTTTGTGCTTTAATATATGTGGTTGCATATATGTCTCATGTAATCCTCTTGATTCTCTCTTATTTTTCATGGTCATGTTTTGATATTGAGTTGATTTTGGATTACATTGAGCTAATTGCATTGATCATTCCTAAATTGCACATTAGGAGAGCTTAACAGTGTTTTTATTAATGAAGTTCATTGATTTAAACATTGGACTCAATGAGTAAATGAGGTTGTTATTCAAGAAAACCTAATGATTTTATGAAACTCCTAATATCTTAAGCAAGCTATGATTGCCATTAAAACCATTTTCAAGAGGTTTCCTATCATCTATTTCTATTCCATCATCATTTTATCTAAAAATAACAAAAACATAGTAGCTTAGGTTTATTTTCATTGCATAACTTTAGTCAATTCAATTCAAATCTTCAAAAACCCAAACACCCTTTCATTGCATTGCATGGCATTTAGTCTAGCTTAGGTCATCAATAAAAGCTCTCAAAAGTGAATACGACCCAGATTACATTGCTATACTCCATCTCTTGGATCCAGTTATAAATTATTGCATTTTACCCCAAGGCATAACGACACAGTCAAATCAATTGACGCTGTTGTCGGGAAACCAAGAAATTGGTTTTGCTAGGCTAGTTAATTGTCAACTTTGGTTGATTGGGGTTTTATGAGCCTCTTAGGTTACATTTTTACATTGTGCGTAATAGGTTTTATATTGCATAAAAATTTTGAGATATACAAATAAAGATCTTGATCTTGATTTTCTTTTTGCATATAGTTTCATGCACTTCTTAGCATTCTTTGCATTCTTGAGTTTGTTTAAAATTTTAGAGGCTTTGCATAGTGTTTGTGCCTCTTAATTTCATTCTGCCACTGTTTCTACTGTTGCCTTGTTTTGAGGGTTGCTTCTGCCAATAATTTTGTCACAACCAATAACTGTCTAACCGTGATGAATACCCCTTCCTCTTCTGAATTTGCTTCGATGAACATTTTCATCACGACCAACTCAAGTCTTGCTGCAACGAAAATCTTTTTTGAGCCAGAATTTTTCTAAGTCTTAAGAATTCATTGGGACTTGATTGTTTTGCTTCCTTATGGCTTGGTTTAATGATGATTTAGACCCATCTTATCACCCTTCCTTTTTTGTAGGCGATAACACTAAGACGGGTAATGATTTGTCTCAAGGGCTTCATCTTATACAACAAGTATTCAATCTTCTTCTAGCATGCATAGATCATGGACAAGAAGGTGGGAACTATCAAGGACATGATACCCCCTATCCTAACCATAACCATGACTATGATTGGATGAGTGATCCTTCACATTCCCCTTACCATACTCCTTTATTCCATTCACATCTGAACCAACATCCACCACTAGGACCACATTATGACTTCTCACCTCTACTATACAATCCACATTTTGAATACTTTCCATCACATCATCCATATCATAAACCAAACAATCCATTACATGAACCCTACCACCAATACCCTTCCCCATCTCACCAACTATTCCATGAACCATCACCATGATTCCATCCATGCCCTCTTTCATATCATGAGCTTTCTCTTCCACCCCACCTTAAGCCTCGGCCTCAATCCTATGGTCTCGACAACTTTCTCACACTACTAAACATGGATGACCAAACAAGAAAATTAAGAGGGATGTATGACATTATAAAGATTCACTTCTTAGAGTTGTCTAGAAGCAAAGAGTTGTTTGGGATATCCAAAGAAGAAGAGGAAAGATTAGAGGACATTGAGGATTGGATTAAAGCCTTTACTAATCATGTGCACTGGAAGAAGACAGAAGGAGAAGAAGGAGCTCCATGGCCCTATGACTTAGAGGATTCAGAGGAAGAAGAGGAACAAGAACTTAATGACCAAGAGTCAAATGCCACACCAAGGATGGAAAGTTCCCGCCCTCTCATGCCTATACCTAGTGGACCTACTCGAGCACAAGAAGTACAGAAACTACAAAGAATGAAGTAGAGTCTCCACTATTATTTGGTAATGACCCTGTTCTTACTCTTCTATTATTTTGCCTGATAAAACTCTTGAATTGAGTGATAGTGAGGAGGATGAAGAGATTGTTTGTGAATCCTCTCAATACATAACTTCTGGTTATAATGACTCTACTTCTTTGTGTGATGAATTGAATGATAAACATCCTTCTCTTCCTAGTACTATAGATGATTATGCACTACTAATGATTTATTCTCTTGTACTAGAAGTGCTGTTATTGATAAGCATGAGCAATTTGAAATTGTTGAGTCTTGTTTGAGTACCACTGTGAGAGAGTTGATGGAAAATAACCATTGCCTTAAGAGTCAAATTCATGATAATTCCAATGAGTTTGTAGTTTCTAATACTGTTGAGAAAGACTCTAAAGTTTCAATTGCCAAAATCATGAACATCAATAAGTCTTTCCAACAAGCTTTGTCTTATGATTTGTTTCCTGATTTATCTTGCATTGTAAATGGCAATGTGCATGAATCTTTTCATTCTTTCTTTTCTCTCCCTTTGAACATTACCTCTTCTGAATGTGATAGTGATGTGTTGTACTCCAACAACTATCAGTTGGATTCTTCAGCTTCCACTTCATATGAACTCAAGTATTATAAAAATTTAAATAACAATTTGGCTCCTACTAATGGGAGTACTATTGATTTCCTTGGTTGTGATAGTTACTTGGAGAGATTAACTTCTAAGCTGTCTTTATTTCATTTTTATTCTCTTCATGTTCCTATTTTTGGATATGGTACTGCTGTGGGTTCTACTT